GGTAGNATTCTAAACTAAAGGTTACAAGTAGTGGTAGTACTGGTAGGTACCTACATAATACATAGTTTATTTTATGTGGTTGATTCGTTCTTTGACTGACCAAAGTCCACTAGTCCGGTTGTTATTACAAGCGGCCCGATTTCTTTTTTGATGCGTCAATAATTTTCTATAATGATGATGAAGCCTTACTTTGTAAGACTATCAATAGTATTATTAGCATTAATCATACATTGATTAGTAGGTACAAACCTACATAATAATGTTTTTCCAATACAAGAAAAAATGACGTCATCTTATGTACCGATTACCGATANCAAAATTGATAACCTACATCGAGAGGCGGGCATCACGGGGCTCAAAATTAACTGCCGGAAGACCCAAGAGATGCGATCTGGAGTGAGGAATTGCACACCATTACGGATTGGTGCAGAGGATGTGGAACGTGTCCACAATTTTACCTACCTCGAGAGCGTCGTGTCAGAGACTGGAGGTACCGAAGAGGACATCACTTCGCGCATTGCCAAGGCTAGAGCTATCTAGCTAGAGCTTCGCACAACTTCGCCCCGTATGGCAGTCACGGAAACTGACCCGAAGGGTCAGACAAGATCAAAATTTTCGGGTCCAACGTTAAATCCGTTCTGCTCTATGGGTGTGAAACGTCACCAAGGTTATCTCGCACCAGCTGCAGGTCTTCGTCAACCGCTGCCTTCGCCGAATTCTCGGCATATACTGGCCTGAGAAAATCTCCAACGTCGAGCTATTGGAACGCTGCCACGAAATTCCGATCGACCAGCAGATCAAGCGCCGCAAGTGGAACTGGATTGGCCACACTCTCCGAAGAGATCCCGAACACATCCCCAAGCTCTGGATTGGAACCCCCAAGGAAAACGCAAACGTGGTCGCCCCAAGCAAACTTGGCGGCGCACTGTGGCAGACGAGGCGAAGAAGATCGGCAAGACTTGGAGTGAGATCAAACGCGATGGAGGACTGTTGTGGACGCCCTCTGCCCCATCTAGGGGACATAGGACCTTAAGTCAAGTAAGTCAAGAGTGATAAAAGTTTAGATACTTTACTGTTTCTACGATCTCATTACAAGGCCCAAAAATTTAATCTAGATTTAATAATATTTAGATTACCTCTTTATAACTCAATTTGATTTGGACTGAATTTTGTTTTATTTAGAAAATAAATTAATTTAGGTTAGGTACCTACTTACTATACCTCCGCAAACTAACTTTATTATACTAAATTTGCTGTATTAAGCTTAATCTCGGAAATATCGAAAATACCGGATTATCGGTATTCGTCTAGAGCCAATACCGAAAATACCGGTTTTGCTGAAATGATTCGGTATTGCGACCCCTAGATAGCACACCACAGCTAATATAATACTAGTAGATAGTATCGCACCTGTCATGTAAGAGGCTTATAATCATAAAAATAACTGTCACCATGTGGTTATGGCAGAAACATTTGAATTAATAAGATGGTAGCTAATAATAACTAAAGCTTATTCTTCGTGAGAAAAACCTAAAATTAGATGTAATTTAATAAATCGTCGGCTCGTACACGCTTTCTGTTTTCAATATTCAATGGAATATAATTTATTGAGGATGTTCTCCAAAATGCTAATCCTAGTTTGCGTCAGGTGGTACAGAATAATATTACGTCATAATACAACTTAACGGTCGTCTGGCGATTGACAACACAGTTCTTGATCATTTATATTATGCAGGTTGCATAAGTGGTGACATTGATAGCTTGAAAATATGCTTCTATAGACACCATTTATCTGATTGTTGGATAATATTATAGCGATGACATGGAATGGGAACCATTATGACTAAAATCAGAACTGATATTTTTTCTTCTGACTAACAAATAGGTATTATAGGCAATAAAGACAAAAGAATTTAAAAACCAAAATGCGCTACTTACTTTTAAGGCTCAATAGTTTTTAATTGAAACATCAATTAAGTAAATTAATTTGCAAATAATTAGTTACATAATAGAAATAATGTAGAAGCTAATGATCTTAGTTTAATATTGGTTTCTTGATAAAATAATTCTGCTATCAGCCTTAAAATCAAGGTCTTCAACCTGTTCTTTTGGATTTTTTTTTAATAGTACAACATTCCCGAAAGCGTCATTCGCGATTCACTAGTTCACTAACAGTTGCATAGCAGATGTTCAAGATAACCTTGCAATTATGTACTGTAATATCAGTAACTTACTTCTTCTTTATCCTTTATGTGGTCAATATCCCAATGAAGCCGTGTAAATTCAAGATGTCTGATAAAAATTCAGACGGTAACATGATCAAAAGTTCCTTAAGATTGATCTGCAGGGCTACTCCGAAACGCTGTTACGTAGTTTCGGGTCTATCTGTCACCGTCGCTCATGCTAGCATCTTACTTTGCGTGAGAGGGATAGTAACATTCGAAGCTTCAGAATCTTCAGATAACGTTCTTCGAAGTAACCCCCCTTTATACGTACCTTGTCAATCAAGTTTAGCAATTAATCTGACCCTTCCGGTTGTCACTGCATTAACTAGTCCAATAACGACTTTCCCCCAATTAATGCTTTAAATACATCTATCAAGGTGCCAAATTACGATCGTTCCTTCAATCTACCTAGCCGCGTCTATAATTTACTCAAGATCACGAATTACAAGCCATTACCTTATTATAAAAGTGTATTACCAATATTATACGTAATTTTCGCGAGATCAGACAAGTCAACGAAATTCCGACTTCGTACTTTCACCGTAACCGGTTTGGTCAGCTTGCCACTGTATTTCAACTTTAATTCTAACTATCCTTTGTTTTGTGTAACAATTGGAACATTGACTTGTTTAAGTCATGCACACAAGATATAAGTTCTAGATAATTTTAAAGCTGTGACTACACAATTTATACAGGGTGAAATTTAAATAGTAGAGTCTTATATTTAAAAGGATGCCAATGACATATAAATTTCACCCTGTATAAAAGCTACAACGAGTCATTCTCGTTGAAATTCTTCTTTCTAAAATGCAGGAATGTATTTTTTAATGATACTTCGGTGCAAGGTCGCTGTAGCGTCTTTTGGCCGCAACCTTATTACCATGCAAACGTAAAACTTGCGATATTCAAATTATGTTAATATTGTGTTACTTAATACATTGAAATTTTCCATCTGCACGAGACTTCGTCTGTGTGGATTTAGGTTTGTAACAGAATGTCTTATCACGCGACCCACAGTCAAATTGTGTTCTAATCTTTAATAATATTTTTTTAAATTTTCATTACTTCACTAATTATAACTTAACTATTAGGTTGTTGTTGTTCTAATTGATTCACCCCCTATCCAACATAAATGAACGGTTAATTCTTCAAGTCTTGAAATCAAAATATAAGAAACAAATAAACTAGTAATGGTAGTAGGTACTTAAAAATACATTAAATAATAGCAATGCTTTTTCACGAAACATAATTAAGTTAGCTTCAACTGCTGCATACGACTAAGTTAAAATATTAGCAAATCATACATTTCAAAATCATACTTGTTTAAGTAAGTAATCAACGTAATGTAAAGAAAATAACCCTGTTCCTGCTCACAATTTGCCACGTCGTTATTTATCAATTTACAAATGCATTTACTTATGTAATACATGAATGTAACTAATTGTGGTTTTCGACACTCGAGCAAACAAAAACAAAGCGTGTCTCTAACCACCGGCCGATTGTTTAGAAAGCTATAAGCCTATGGACACATAGGGGACTATACAGTGACGTATATCGAATACTAGCTTTTGCCCGCGGCTTCACTCCTTTGAATCTGTCATACAAATACTTTTCGCGCGCACCCCCCTATCAAAAGTATCCTGTTATTCTCATTGACAAAATTTATTCCTAAAACTTTTTCAAGTTATATCTATTGGTGAAAACCGCATGAAAATCCGTTCAATTTTTGAGTTCAGACGGGACGGAGGACTAACATCATTTGAAAAATAGCAAGATATAATACTTAAAAAGTACTTGAAACTTCACATAGAGACGGGTAATGCAATTGCGCTAAGCCAGTTCACTGGTCAGTTTGCCATATAACTCATTTCTTCAAAATCTGTTCGCACGCGCAGGGCCGGGAAAATTTGAAACATGCTTATGATAATACCTATTTCTAGAGAGAGAACTAACGTTAACCACACCTCGGAGATGCCACATAGTGTATTCAAGGCTTTATTTTTCAAGTGCCGACACAACACCTGGTTATTACACTGAATGGCACCTGCAAACGTTAGAGTGATAGGAGCAATAAACTAATCTTGGCTCAATAGCGAAAGTCTTCGTATGAATCGCAGTAGTAATAATAAGATGAATGGTATCATTAGAAACGTAAAAAGAAGAAGTCGGTTTAATTACATGTAAGGCTAAGGTTACACTGTAGTTACCATGCGTTGTAACTCCATGTGTTAAGGAGTTTTATGGCTTGCAAAAAATAGCGTTGCATAATAAGTTTTGCAATCCGATGGTTATTGTTTTGATGGTATTACTCTTTAGATTTAGAAGATCATAATAATATCACTAATTGTTGACAAACACCTATAGGCTGCTTTACTATTACTGTGTTATAACGACTAAACCACATGAAACTTTATAGTTTCATCATGATTCGTTCCGTAATTTTTACAATTTTTTTACGTAACTTTATTGTGACGAACCGCAGTGTTAGGGTTAAAATACTAAGAAGTGAAAAGCGCTTAAGCCTTAGAGCAAAAAAATTAGAGAGGTCAAGATTCTCTAATTTTTTTGCTATAAGGTTTTAAATTTTAAAACTTTTTCTTGATTATAATATTAAAATCGCGGGAAGAGCCTCAATGCGGGCAATGCAGGACCGATCGTTTAGGAAATCCTTGGGAGAGGCCTCTGTCCAGCAGTGGTCGTCATTTGCCTGAAACGAATATTAAGTTTCGACATGTTGAATCAATAAAGCTAATTCAATAACTTGTTTGTTTCCAGGCGAACTGGTTCAAAGCGCAGCAGTACTGCCGGTTCCACGGGATGCACCTGGCCTCTATCTCCTCACAGCAGGAGAACGACAAACTCGAGCAGTACGTCAAGGACTCCGGTAATTATTTATCTACTTATTTTGTTTCACCCCTTCGTAGAAAATAAATAAAAATATTCCCACCTCTCTTTCCCACCGCTGCAACTCCTGTGAAGGATCTACAGCTTGACCGCCAACCCAACCAGTGAAGGTCAAGTTTGTCACGGGGGGAAGTTACACTACCATTGGACCCCAACGAAACCATATATCCATATAACATAGTAGAAGATAGGCATTGGTTTGGATTTGGAAATAACCTACAGATTAACATAACCACCTCTCTCAGCTATTTGAGACATCTCTTTTTTTATGGTCTGCATCTTACCTGATGAAAATCGATGATGAAGGTGAAGGTGAAAGCGCGCTTCACCTAAAATTCTGCACCAGAGCAGAACTGGTAATTTTACTCCAACTACTAAAACATGAAAACGCTATTAACTTCATTGTTAAGCCAACAGACTTAAGTAAGAATAAGATGATAGTAGTTAGGCGAATTAGAACAAACTCTACCACCTATCAAACCAAGCAGAAAGTTTCGCCCCTATTGGGAATCAAACCTGGATTTTTCTTCTGAGACAGGTGTAGTTACCTCAAAACCTGCTGAGAGAATAAAAGCTATTGCAAGAATCTGAGCGTTAAAACGTCTACAAAAGTCACGCCATGCCACGCTCACTCGCTTACCTGCCATAAGAACACTCATAACCCTGCTTAATGAAGCAGCAGCAACGTATACCCGCTGTTTGCTCCCAGCAAGGGTTACTCAACGAGCCCGGGCTAGCTTAATTGCAGTTTAACTCAAGGTTAGGGTTAGACGTTCAACTAAGTACATTTTTGCCCTTGAAAATACCAGCAGCTTAAAAATTTACAGTACTTTATTCCCAGTGGAGATATTTAGTTTGGAGTCTTCCAGCGACTTGGCCCACTTTTAGCTTGGTCCACGGGGAACTGGCATCAATGTTTTAGTAATAAATTAAACACCAAATCAACAAAAATCTACTCCAGAATCTCAGTGGGCCCAGTTGTTGGAAGAAAAAATATTTAAAAATTCAATCCAGTGACTTGGCCTGTGGACCAAGCTAAAAGTGGTAGGGAAACATCGGAGAAATTAAATTATGAAAGTGTTGTAATAAAATAAACGCATAAACCTTTTTGGAGTAAAGCAATAATAAGATATGAACGTTCAGAAATATCGATTTGAAATTAAGTTAAATGAGTCGAAAGGTGTTTGAGTATTTCAATACCAGAAGCAATCACATAACGTTTAATAGTAAAACACAACCAGCCATTTTACTCGTTACCTTACCACAACATTTTCTTACCAGAATTTACCATTTAACAGCTTTCAGTGCATTTAAATAGATACTAAAAATAATAACCTATAGAAATGCTTATTGAAAACGACAAATATTTTGCGATTGTAATTTTCATGAGATATTACAAACTACATAAAGAAACTCATAATCGGACTTTAAGTTTCATGAAAATGTAACCTAATTCTTAAATTACTAATCATTTTACTACCTTTTATTATACTAATCTATGATTAAAGCCAATTAATCAGCTTTCTAATGATGTGTTTAATTTAAACATGTAGAAAGCAACTATAACTTGCGGTTAGCATTGTCTTGCTAAAGGTACAGGATTGAGAAGGCACACGATGATATAATTTTAAATACTTACTTTGTTCAATAAACTCCCCACTTCTTTAACTCCATGTTACATATTCTTCATTGTTTTCACAACACAATCGAGTGAAAGTTTCATGGTAGGCCAATTTTGTTGCAAAACACGACCATTTTCTCAACAACTTCTCATCATCTTTTCAGGATATGGACGCGAGCACTTCTGGACGTCGGGAACGGACTTGGCTGAAGAAGGCAACTTCTTCTGGATGGCCAACGGGCGTCCTTTAACATTCGTCAACTGGAACGCGGGAGAACCAAACAACTTCAGATACGAGAACGGGGAAGAAGAGAATTGTCTAGAACTCTGGAATCGAGACGACAAAGGGCTCAAGTGGAATGACTCTCCTTGCTCCTTCGAAACCTTCTTTATCTGTGAAGTGCGGACCGATTGAGGATCTGTGTAATTGTATTATCGTTCAATTGTTTTGCATAACTTCTGGAAGTTCTGGGTTCTTGTATTTTTAATAATCAGCTTTTTTAATGAGGTGGGATTGGGTAGTTGATACCAAGCAATTATACCAAACTTAACACTAATTTAGCCCTGAAACCTTATAGATATTAGTTTATAAATGGCTGTAAAATATTTATCAATAGTAATGATAAAATTGCTCATTACTTCAGGTGCCTATGTAAGAAATTGGAATAAGTATAATGATTTCAGTTCTTACATAGCTTCTTACGTAAATATTTATTTCGTTTAAAATTATACAAAGCAGGGTAAAGATTTGCGTATTGGTTACAAAATTTAATTGCTTTTTGTGTCAAAAAATGGCCTTTTCACTGGGTCAGGACAAAAGTCGGCCATTGATTGAGTTACGAAACGAAATCACTTAGACCAAACCTTACCGACAACCGACAATTCGATACAGATTCCAAAAAAATGTATCGCTGCCGTTTTTTTTTTTTTTTGGAATAAATCTCGATAAAAATACGTACCTAAATCGATAGAAAAACGACTAATAACGATTATTTTGCCGAAATATTGATGGTTGAATAATGATATAAACCAAAAACTTTATAAATCTGAGTTAATGTAAAATAACGTTCAAAATATTTAATTTACAAGAAAACGATTTTAAAAGTATGGACTATGGACCCGATATTTTCGCAAGTTTAGCAATAGTTTGTTGTTTTGTGTGATAGCAGTTTAGTGTGCTAGACGCCATTTTCTTTTTGCAAAATATGTTCAATATTTTTGTTTTACAAAAAAATTACGGCCAGCAAATATTTCAAGTAAATCAGAATTTTGTTTCATAAAAATCGAAATTAAAGTGAAATATTTATACATTTAAAAAAAATATCTGTTCTTTGCCTTAATTAGTACAACGTAATGTATGTATTTTGAAGAATTGAATTTTCAATACTTCGATCTCTTGTAATTAATTGTATTATTAATAGCTACAAAACAATAAAGACTTAGATAATATTATTGTGTAAAAAGTATGTAAATTAAGTGTGTATGTACATACTGTACATTAGGTAGATACAATAATTTTCAGTTTATTTTTTTGTTCTCAGAGTGAAAAAATGTGAACAAAAAAACTTAAGACAATTTTGTATTAAATCTTATAAATACATAATTAAAAAGCAAAAAATGTATAAAAATTAAAAGGGGTCAGTATGTAGTTAGGTTTAACTACAAGTACTATTTATTTATTATATTGTATAATCTCATTAATATTTAACAAAAATTGATACTTCAACACATTTTCAATCCAAATTGTCTTTTTAGAAGCTATAAGTGTAAAAGCTTTAAAAAAGATAGTTTTGCTACGTTCACTGCCAGATCAGTCATCAAACTGATGTATATTTAAAAAAATCTCGCACTTTGTAAAGAGAGAGTTGAAAACATCAAAATAATCACGAAATTGAAATGGCTCAAGGAAAATGAATACTACCGCGTTGCAAGGTACTTACAACGCCATCTCTTGACACATTTATGAACGAACCTTTATCTAAACGACAAAAAGTAAACTCTGTATAAAAATCTTCTGTTTGCTGTATTTTAACACTCTCTTTTCCTTTGTGTGACTGTAAAATAATTGAAAACCTCCGAGTGGGAGTACGGACACTGAGTGTCATAGTCAAACATAAATAATGTTACCTTATGCTAAGTGTCAATAGTTTTAAGGTGAATTTATTAAAAAAATCATAAAAAAATATTTTCTTTTCTTTTTATCTTCTTAAAATTGCAAAATAGTTACAGTTGCACCGCGCCACGTCGCAATTTACTACAAACAAGATTCATAACATTTGAAAATAAAAGAAAAACCACCAAGCGTGAGTCGCATTTTATACAATAACATTGTACGAATATGTAGGTACAAGATTGATTCTCCTATTGCCATAAGTTTAATGTAGGGATACATTTTTGTGTATCCCGTCATATAGGTTAGTATATTCTATAACTATGGTCCATAAGATACAGCCCGCAAATAGAAAAGATCTCTAAAAGACTTAAAATTTGATCCCGCAGTTACAGTTTAGGTACGAAACCTTAAAATAAAAGATGGTGTTATTTATAAATGTGCCACCAAACGATATTTTACCTTTAACTAACTTGTCAATTAACTTTTTCCGGAACAAAAGTGTAAAAGTAAAAGGTCATTTCCTCAGCAATGATTGAGTTTGGTTGGTGACTAGCGAGTTGGCACCGCGCCTTTATTTCGAAACCAATTACGAACCGAAATATTTTTTCCACTAGGGTAAACGAACTGATGTTTACCGTTATTTTTACAGCGCTTCATTACATTGTTATAATTAATTGGCTAAGATATTGTTTATGGTTTGCCTAAGAGTAATAATTATAAACCTTATTTCATGTGCAAAATATTCATAATAAAACCGTTTAAACACGGTTTTAAGAAAAAAATGTTTATGATAGAGACAAAACAAGTGCCAAAATTTCCCAGTTTTTCCAGCATCATGGAAGTAACAAGGGCTTCAAGGCTGCATACCGTTTTTTTTTTAAATCATCTTTATCACTTCCGATGTAATCCATTGTATTTCCAGTTGGCACTGGATTTTCGGATTGGATTAAAATAAAGAAAAAAACAACACACTAACACACCATGCCCCTGCAGTGTCCTAAAAATTTAATGCGGGCGCAGGCCTAAAGTATTCAGTCGAGGGCGCCCAAGATCGAGTTTAGGGTCACCCGAAAATACAACAACTACAGGTTAGGCACAAATATTGTTCCAGTCACCAGGTGTCGCTATCTTAGAGATCTAAGATATAAGAAGACTGCCTGAAAATGTAAGAAGTCATTTGTAAGGTGCTTTTACACGTCCTACGAGTAAGTAGTATCACAGAATAATAATAAGTACTTGGTAGTATAACTTCAAGTGCAACTACTCCGGGACAATAAGTGTCTGTAGAGCTGAGAAGAAGCAACAGGAGAAACTAAAACATAACTAGATATGTATGTATAGTTCCGGAAAAATATTGACTAATGTGGTATTAAATGAATCCATTATTTATTTCACTATGGAGTAAAGAAGTGTAAAACTGTGGACGAATAGTGATTATAATATTAGAAAATAACATTTACACGAATTTTCGAGATAAAAGGAACCAATGGAAACCCTACTCGCGCCACAAGCGCTGCATGCGCGGGGACTTATTCATACACTGGCACGTGTTTTTCCAGTTGCCAACTTTTGGCTTGCATTGGTGCTAGGACTGTGACAACTTTTCCTAGCAAACGTTGTAATAGGCTTATCTGTAAGTCCTTTTATAATAGAAATACACTGGCCAGTACTGGAAGCCACGTACCAGAAAACGCAGTGTGGGTCCGACGACCTCATAATGGTAGCAGGAAAGCACTGTATGTAAGTCGCTACCAACTGGTCAATATGGAAGTCATTGGGGGATATTATGTTCAGCAGTGGACGTCCTATGTCTGAAATGACGATGATGATGATGATGATACTGGCCGAAGAAACTGTTAAAATTACAATAATTGTTTACTACAATACTGGACAATCCCAACTAATATTATAAATGCGAAAGTAACTCTGTCTGTCTGTCTGTCTGTCTGTCTGTTACGCTTTCCCGCTTAAACCTCGCAACGTCGCAACCGATTTTGATGAAATTTGGCATAGAGATAGTTTGAGTCCCGGGAAAGAACATAGGATAGTTTTTATCCCGGTTTTTGAAACAGGGACGCGCGCGATAAAGTTTTTCTGTGACAGACAAAATTCCACGCGGGCGAAGCCGCGGGCGGAAAGCTAGTAAATAAATAAATAGGTAAGTAGGTACTACAGTAATTTTCCCGAAAAGAAAATTTTGGAAAAGGACTACAGACGTTCAGAAATGTATATTATTATGCTTTTCACACAAACGACTTACAAAGAAATCGTAAAAAATCAATATAATATCAATACCTATAATGGAAAAGAAAATAGTTTACTTTTATTCAAGCAGATTTATTCCTTGTCGTCAAAACGCTTAGCGTCGATTTTTTGTAAATATTCTCTAAACTCCCTCCACCCTCAACGCTGAGTCATGAATTCTAAAATATCAATTTCTGGGATAGATGGGAACCGGATCCAATAATATAAATTGATGCAGTTTCATATCGTGGAAGCGGCGGCACGCATCCTGTCACCGATACGTCTAGACGATTGCAGTAATCGATGGGTACGATTAATGAATCGTTAATCGTAATGGGCGTATTAAATCGATTTAGAGTTGAGGCCTTTGAGAAAGCTACATTTTAGAGTTTCTTTAAACATACAACGATATTGGAGAGACCTAAGCCCGTATTCACAAACTATGCTTGCTTAGGTGAAGCCGCAAATCGAACTCACAGCGTTGAATAGAGCTCTGTGATTGGTTCGTGTGTCACCCTGTGCGTCCACGCGCACTGTGAGACTTCATAGTAATGTTTGTGAATACTGGCGATAGCATTACATTTGTGTGTGACATTTTCGTAGTAGACAGTAGGGACTTCAAAATTTCAAACTACCTATAACAGTTTATCTCCTTCACGTGTCATGTCTCTTTACTCATAATTTACAAAGCATCGCGTATAAATTATTGGGATACACACTATTTTTACACCTCACATTTGCACAAAATCAATTAACCTATGTGAACTTTCGACCTCTTGACTCAGCATCCCTCTACTATTATTTTAAGTAACATCATTCCTCTGTCTGTACACTTTCCTCAATTCAAATCTCGACTTAATTATACAAACCAACCTAAACCTAATAAGCATAAAATCCAGTGCATTCGTGTTTCTTTTCCACTGCCTCTGACGACTGCAGAAGAGATCAAAGCAGCTAATTTCTCCCGGGATCTCAGTTTCAAAAGAACACCAGCGCGGTAGCAACAATGTGCAATACTTTTAGAAGCTTCGGCTGGCAAGATGAAGCGGCGCTCCAGTTGCGATTGGGTAAGGTAAGGAATTCTTTTTATTACTTATTACTAAGTTGGTTGTATTAAATAGTTTGCTCGTTAAAATATTTTAGCTCTGTTTTAAACTAGTATGAGTTGTATTAAGGTTGGCAAACACTACGATACTTAGTCATGATGATAACGATTCTTGCTCTTTCCGTGCATGCCATTGGGTCGCTGTTGTTTTTCACACTTTTTCTCGTTAGTTTGATCTCGTAGCTACACACGAAATGGTCTGTAAGTTCACATACTTTACTTATGTGGTCAATAATTAGTTTCATACACTTTGTCCAAGCACATTTAGGTGCACAGTGTGCCATGGTAGGGGAGCGTATAAATGCGACACGGGTAGTAGTTAGTCTCTGCTATATGTCTGTTTATTAATGTGAACTGCGCGACTATTTATACGATATAGATCAAAGGTAAATGACGTCACAGCATCAGCACTATACGTGATAAATGTGCTGACACTGTGAACGTGATCAAGATAAGATATGAAGAGATTAAGTATTGTGCATACCGGCACAGTACTCCCCCCCTCTAAATAAGAGAAAAAAATGCGCTAATTACAATAACATACATAAATTACTTATCTACGTTAATACAGGTTCAATGTTCAATCTCTACATACTTACATACAAGAAATAAAAATAATAATTACATAATATAAATTACAATAACTATCTAGTTTATACAAATCATGTGGTAAAAAATAGTGAAGTGTTTATAAACATGAGAATATAACAAAATATACACTGGCTTCTTCCTTAGCTAGCGTTTTCACAGTCGTGGGTTGGCCTCGCGCAAACTCGGCGTTACGCGATGGGTGCGCTGTAGTCACAGCGTTCATGCCTTGTGTCCTTGCACATTTCATAAGCGTTATCGGCTTCTGAAGACCAAAGGATAGGCGAATTATCATTCTTGAAATATTCAAAGTATTCAACTTCGATACGCGGCTGCGTAATTTTCTCAATTCCTTAACTGTGTTTCAATTCATCGATTATTTTGATTTCTGCTCTGTTCGGCGATTCCTTGGCTCGTTATCGGATAACCTAAGAAATATTCGCTCTGGAGGGACTCACATTTTTCTAAATGATTGAATTCCCAAGTTAAGAGTCAGCGTTTTCTCACCGTAAGTGTTTATCTTTGAACCATTCGTGGTATATAACATATTGCTCATTTAGCATTGTTGATTATTATCACTGATATGTTGCTCCCGTAACGATTAAAAACCTCATACCACTTTTTCAGTCGGTAACAATAAGGCGGTTAGACGGGTAGATAGCACAGAAGCCATGCTGGCTGTGCGAATTTTAGTTTCCTTGTTTCGTTTTTTTCCAATCACATGATTTTTCACATTTTTCTGCATACGTTGATACATATTATAATAACAAAATCTTCTTACTTGACTAGGCGACCTTGGCCTGTAACTGCTGCGTCGCAAATTTTCACGGTCATGGCACAATCATTATTTCAATTGCACATGTTATAGCTGTGTTAGCACATTTTCCATTGTTTGGTCTTGAATTTTGCTGATGTTGTAGTTGACTGTTGAACTGCTGAGACTTCATTATTTTTGCATTCTCTAATTTTTATTAGCTATTTGATTCTTTTGAAGTTCCAACACTGTTTCCAGCTACATAGACGAGGTTGGTCCTTTTAGAAATCGGGAATACGGATGTGACAGGGGTACTGGCAGCGACTTCTCATAGTGTTGTGTTGCACGACTTGCACGGAGTTGACATGATG